GGAGGTCTGGGCTTCTGTGCTTGGGCTACTGCCCCCGCGACCCGGCCCCGGATAAGCAGAAGAAAATGGATGGATGGACTTTCTGTTTACGACATCGTACTGAATTTTTTATCCTCTTACCTCTAGCCCCTTGAGGTTGTTCTCCAGGGCAACTACCTTCTCATGCTCAGTCTGGAGCTGCAATTTAACATCCCCTAACTCTTGAATTGTGCTCTAGATGGACAAAAAATAATCAGAAATTCATCATTAAAGTTGAGTAGGGTATGTAGAAAACATATCTAGTTGCACTCTAGCCGAGTTGGTATAAATCTTTATATACATTCTAGTTATTTTCAAAATCATGGCCTAAATATTTTAGTAGTAAAAAAAAGATGACTTGTTTATATTGCTTGTGTACAGTGCAGTGAGACTGTGCAACTTTTTCTAAAAGCATGTGTCTGCATCTTAGCAAGAGTTCAGTGGTATGGTTACTTATTCTCAGGACTGCAGATGAAATTATTTGAGAATATGGGGATGCATTTGTATTTCTCTGTAATAACCAGTGATTTTCCCCGATAACCAGGTGCAGGTTCTGTCGCTCACCTCACTATATTAAAAAGTGGAATCATCAAACAGCTCTGTAAATTGCTGTACAATTTGAGGTTAATATTATTTCAAAGAAAAGTGTAGGCAGCAGATAAAAACTTCCACGAACTGACATAGAATTTGTGGAATTTCTGGCAGTTTTACAAAAACGCAAAGCGTGAAAATCTCCTCTAGTGCTGGGGAGGCTTTCACATGTAAATGAAAGTGCAAATGCAAATTGAGACCACTGCTCCAAAAGTAACACCTTTTTTTCTCAAATGTCCTGACTCCATTTAAGATCTTGTATGCTATAATTAGGTCAGGCTTCCTTTATGTACTCATGACTGAAACTTGAATAATCTGCTTTATATTTCCAAACACATGATGCTGAATGACATTATGTGGCATTACTCATATGCAAATGCAGCACGTAGCAGGAGTTTCAATGTCATTTTTGTTGAGTGCTCAACTTTAGTGTCATTTCAGCTCATCGTGTAAGATCTGAATTTTTGTAACCGACCAGACTCGAGATTAAAGTGCACAAGAAGGTCAGTCTGTACTAACATTTCAGTTATATATCAAAGCAGGAGCAAAGAGATGGTCAGAAAAAGGAAAAAAAATAATACCTGCTTTATTTCCTGCTTTAACTTAAGTAACTCTATACCAGCACTGATGGGTTGCGACATATTAATTCAGAAGAACACATGAACAATGCCAACCAACCATAATCACAGCTTACAAGGACAAGACTGATGCACAATCCTAAATTTGCATTAAAAGAATGAGCTCAAAAGTTAACATTAAAAAAGAAACCTGTAATTTCGCTAACAGATTTCTTTCAAAAAATTAAGCTACGTAAAACTGTTTTTCAGTTTATAAGAAACAGTTTTGTTTACAAGGAAGTATTTCATAAACGGGAAGACAACAGTAGCATTGTACATGTATACTTTACTCTGCCTGACCTGGAGCTGGTTTTCATGGCTCACAGCTTCACTGCTGAACTGCAACCGGAGTTGTTGATTCTCTTCCTGGTTCATCTCCAGCACAGCTTCGACTTCCTGTTGGGCCTCCCTCAACTGTTTCTCCAGTTTCACCTTGGACGCCATCAAATCCTCAGTGTTTGGGAGCTGACTGTGGAGCTCCTGGTTCTCCTTGCGCAGCTGCTCCATGCAGGCATTCAGCCTTCCTACTTCCTGAGCCGCCTCCTCCTCCAGCTCCTGCAGCTTTGTTGACTGACCCTCCCAGCGCAGCCGAGCCTCCTCGTTCTCAGCGGTCAGCATGCACACGTGCACGCCTAGTTCTGCGGTCTCTGTGTTGGCTCTGTGAAGGGCCTCCCTTGATTCACTGTTCTCCAGACACAAAGCATTGTAACGCATCTTAAACTTATCAAGCTCCTCTCTAGAGGCCGTCACCTCTGCAGCAAGACCGGCTCGAGCCTGTGCCTCGCCATCTCGCTCACGAATAAGAGCCTCCTCACGCTCGCGAGATCTAAGAATTTCATCCACATGCCGGCGGTTTAGTTCCTCCACTTGGGCCTTCAGTTGTTCTACTAAAACACGAAGGTCTTCTCTGGAGGTTTCTGTCACCTCCTGCAGGGCCTGAGCTTTCATCCTCTCCTCATTTCCTGCCAGGAGTTGTGCCCTAAGCTCCACCACCTCTTCCTGGAGCCTGGTTACCTCTCTCACGTTGACTTCCAGTTGTGCCTCAGCTATAACCAGCCTGAATGGGGCCTCTTTGGATTCCACTGAGGAAGTCTGGTGCTCACTGTGAAGCTTTTGCATTTTTTCGTTGCTCTCTGCGGCTCCTTTTTCATCATGCAGCTCCCCACTCCTGCTTTCTAGCTCATCAGTTCGACCTTGGAGAAGCTCACATTTTACAGTCTGGTCTCTTAGCTTAGCTTCAGTTTCCTGGAGCTTTTCAAGTAACTCTGCTTGGCTTTTCTGGGACGCTATAATGTTCTTGTCTAACTTTTCAGCTTTGGTAGTGAAAGAATCCAGTTCCTGTTGAGTTGTGGCTAACTGTTGCTTCAGTGTGGACTGACTGCCGAGAAGCTCAGTATTCTCATGCTCCAGCTTCTTTAACTGAGCATCAGATTGCTCCCTTTGCATAAACGCCTTTTGAACCATCTCCTCCAATTTCAGGTTTTCATCTAAAAGCTTTTTCTCTCTGTCTTCCACACTCATCTTTGCAGCTTCTACTCTACTTCTGAAGTGCTTCTCAGACGCCTTCAAAGAAGCTAGCTGGTCTAACAGGGCAGCCCTGCTCTCAGTTAGCTCGGAAATGCTTACCTCACTTTTCCTAACCGTTTGGAGAAGCTTAGCATTTATTTCCATTAGACTGCTGAACTGTGTTTTGTCATCTGCAGTATTCTCTGATTGACTGCAAGACGTTATTTCATCATCAATAATTCGAGGGGCCACTGTTTCTTTCCCCACGTTTAGCTTATCTAACTGCTCCTCCAAATGTTTGATTCTTTCTGAACTCGCAGCTAGCTCTTTCTCTCTGCTTTTAAGCGTTTTTCTTAAATCCAAGCTCAGACTCTCAAGTTCCTCATTCTGGCTGCTACTGAGACTACACTGCTTCTCTACCTCCTCCCTCTCTTCCTGGAGCATTTTTCTCAGTTCCTCCGCCTGCCTTTCCCTGCACTCCAGTGAGGCCTGCAGGTCCTGAAGCTGTGCTCTCAAATTCCCTGTCTCTTTCTCTTTCAAAGTCAATGCCCCCTGAATTCGACCAACCGCACTCTGGAGCTCCTCTAACCGCGTGAGCGCTGCCTCCCGTTCGTCATCAGCTCCAGCTTTTACTTCACCTAGCTTCTCCTCAGCATTCTTCAATTCTTCTTCCCTGAGTTTTAGTTCCTGCGACAGACATTCACAGTGCCTCGCCCTGTCCTCAGCCTCTCTCTTAGCCTCAAACCTCCCCTCCTCTGCAGACTTCAGTTTATCCAGGAGTTCCTGGATTTTCCAGGCTGATTCACAGTAACTAGCAGTTTGTTGGCCCCTTTCTTTAAGAGCCTCATCTAACTTAGAAAGAAGCTCCATATTTTTGTTCTCAGCAGTTGTGAGTCTATCTTGAAGTTCACTTCTTATCGGTTCCCTGCAGGTTTGATAGTGATTAACTCTTTCTTCACTGTATGTTTCTGGGTTACTTTGGACTGCTGTAGATGTCGAATTGGCAGACTTCTGAGCTGACAACTGTTCTTGAAGGTGCTTTACAATATCTTTCAGCTCCGCAGCCTCCTTGCCTAACTCCTGAACCCGCACCAAAAGCTCCTGCTGTCTGAGCTCGGACTGGTCAAGCTCAATGCGCAGATTCTCTGCAATGCTGCAGGAAGAAGGTTCCCCCAGTTCTCCCAGTTCATCAAGACCACTGTGGCTCAAGTCTGGGACTGGAAGGAACTCCTGACCCTGTTCAGTGCATGGAAAAAGAGAGAGCAGAGGTCAGGTGCATTAAACATTAGTCACATTTAACCAGAAAATTGTAGGAAATTATATTGATATAACAGTTTTTGTGTACCTGTGAGTGTGAATAACTGCTAACCAGACTGTTCACACTAGAGCAGCGACTCGGGGGTTTCCAAAGGTAAGCTGAGGAGCCAGATCCTAATGTTCGCCTTTGTTAATGAGACACCAAATATTAGGGTCAGTGAAAATGCTTTATTTTAAAGTTCTGCTAATTTTCTGTAATATATACCAGAAAGAACTGCATTATTTAGAAATGGTTAACAGGAAGTAAAAACCACACCTATATATGCATACCAAGAACTTCGCCAAGATTTTAAAGAACCCAAGAAAATATGCAATATTTACAGAGTATAACTGAGTTCATTTTAAAAAACTCTCAGTTCTTCATTTTAAAAGGAACTATCCTGCCTAATTTTACTGTGGGAGCCCACACTCAGTGGCATTTTATTCTGTGGAAATGATTAAAATAACAAACAAAAAAAAATGCCATAGACTGCCATAAAGTCTACTTTCAGATGAGATTAGTTCATTCGATGAACTGAGAAAAGTTCATTTAATTTTAGCAGTATGTTAAATGGACGAACAGATTTAAAATGTAGTCCACCTTTTATGCTTTTCTTGTTAGTGGAGAAAATATGAGTCAGTTTACACAAATACAAGCAAGGAAGTCACTCAGACGTTACACATTTCTTCTCTGGAATTAGAAAGTGATGATTTCATGCTACTCATTGGAAATAGAATTGACAACCACAGCAAATTCTTTTTAAGAATTTCTTAAAAAGAGTGCAAGACTCTAGTGTCTTCTTTTCTAATAGCTTGCAAAAATAGTAATAACAATACATTTTATTTATAAGCACCTTTAAAAACCCTCAAGGTCACCTTACATTATTTCAGCAAAATAAAAACATAAAGTAAACAAATAAAATCACAACTATAAAACTAATCGAGGTAACAAGACTAAGACCAAGTTATAATGAAGGGTTTGCAGTTCTGAACAGATTGAGTCGTGATTTAAAAGTAGAGGGCAGTTATAGTCTGGAGATCTGGTGAAAGTGCACTCTATATGTACGTAAGATCCATAGGTATGTAAGATCCCACAAATACGGACGAGCAAGGTTATGAAAGTATTGCTTGAATTTATCACAACAAAGTTGAAAGTTTTGACAAAGCTGCTGATAGAAGAAACAATGATCCAAGTTCACACACTGTCAGCAACCACACACACAGACAAATAAACACACCCACACACCCCTATGCACACACGAGCAATACAGCAAAAAGACAGAACTGTGAATGTGCAGGGAGATAAGACAATTAGCCGTTAACTTCAAGTTGTGAAAAACCCAGTACGCGTTCAGCACAATTCAACATTTGCAAAAAAATAATGTGTTCACTCTAGATATTTAGTCTCTTTGAGATCAGATAATTTATTTAGTGACCTTACATGTTTTCCAGGTTGAAGAATATGTGTTATAAAGTTTTTTAGTCTTCTATTGTTCATACATACATACCTTGCAAATTTTGGCCAATCTGCATCAAGGTCATAACCTCTGGCTGCCACATCAAATTGGATCTGGTTGAGTTCATAAAGATTGTTGATTATGTCTCCAGTGAGGTGAGACTTGAGGAAAGGACTCCGGGCATAATACCAGTCACTTTATCGGAAGAATACAAAAAAAAAGTTGCAAAACCAACTCACAAAATGAAAGTCAGAGAATTTCAACTAGTAAAAACAGAAACATTCAGAAAAAATACATTTAAAGGTATGATATACATCACAGACATTGGCATACAAAGCTAATATTCAAATTAAAGCTTTCCCTTTACGCCCACAACTTGTCAATAGAAACAATGGCAGTAAAAAACATAGCTTTAAATAGCACTATAAAGCATTATTGTCACCTTGTTGTTGTTAACCTTGTTAAATGTGACAAGATATTTTATCTTTATATCTTTATACCGTAC